TGGTCATGTCAGAAGTCAAAACCTTGCAAGTATGACAGGGGGAAAGGCTGTCAATCATCTGTACGTCTGATAATTTTCATATCAATATTTTAAATGAACCAAAATGCGGCTTTGTCCAACCTCAAGGAAATTATCGGATTTCAGAAGTAATGTCCATGTGATTTCATTATTTCAGAGAAGAAACTGGAACTTCAAAGCAGCAGTGTTTCAATAATGGCAGCATTTTCAAACAGTAATGTAATGCGACATTGATTTGCCTTTTATGCTACTATCACACCAAAGTAGTTTCATCCCGTTCTAAAAGAAAATATACTACAACGGGCTGTGATCACGGTAGAACGCATAGTTTGGCGTAAAATACGATGCTTGTTCGTTCATAAGCAGTCCTCAATACGTCTATCTTGTTCTTAGCCTGCAGTCCGTTTGTATCCAGTTCAGATCGTGAAAAAGTACCCGTTCACCTTATCCCGGCAACGTTTCGAAGCAGTTCCAGCACGTCCAGTAGCCGTTCTGAAACCGTTCTTAACCAGTTCTACCTCGTTCACAAAACGTCCAAGCCAGTTCTAACTAATTCCTAACCCGACCAACTCGTTCGCAGTACGTCCTCATCTCGTCCCAAGTGCGTGTGTATTCGCGTCCTTGCCCGTCCTGGCCCGACTCCTATGGATACCGAGCGCGTTGTATAGCCAGTCTTCATTCAAGTTCAGGGCTCCGAGCTGTACACATCATGCCTCCAAAGAGAAGTCGACACGTACTGAAATTTATGTCCGACTGCACCACGTCGTAACACGTCCCTAGTAGGTTCGAAGTACGGCAGTTCCGTTCGTAATACGTCTTTCTCGTACGTAGTACGTTGTCAATCCGACTAATTGCAGAACGGGATGGACGGGATAAATAATTGAGCAGACTCAAAGTTCTAGAGCACCCTCCCCGTCCGAGCCCGCCCATGAAGTTCATAAAAAGACTGTCAATAGTTGCTACTACGTCCACTACGTTCACACACAGTTAGAGTTCGTTCGACAACATTTTCACGAACGTATTGAGAACTAGTTTGGTGTGATGGGGGTATTACCCAAGCCCAAACTTATAAAAGATAAGGTAATTGTTCACATGGTGTTAAAATAATATATATTTTAGGAATGCTTCATTCAATAATGTTTTACAGACGTTTCGTTCGCGGTATTAACCTGATTACGTCATAAGGCCTTGTGACGTGAACAGGGCCGTAGCTTGTTGGGGAGAGAGGACGATACGCCCGCGATAAGAAAAGGATAAAAAATGATTCAATTACACAGGTTATCACAGTGGACATGCATAGAATGTTTGGCACGAGATTTGTGTCTTACAACTCTCTTCCTGTAAATGAGTGTACAAGGGTTACTTTCTAGCTGCTTGTGGGATGAGCAGAAGCCTTGAGTTTCAGAGACGTGTATGATGTTATAGTTCACACTAGACTGATAGCAGATAAGGGACGGCTATTCCAGTTCAAGTGAGCTAAAATCCAAAGGTCTCATTGACGAGTGAGAGTTGTTTAACACCACTTTGAACAGTATGAGCCTGTCAGATTTATGTGGCAGTAAAGCCCAAGTGATGCAGATCTCAGATGTTTATTTTTTGTTTGTTTAATTTTTTGTTTAACGCTAACCAGCAATATTCCAGCTATATGACGGTGGTCTGTAAATAATCAAGTCTGGACCAGACAATCCAGTGACTGATATCAGGAGCATAGATCCATGCAACTGGGACACGATGACATGCATCAACCAAGTCAGCGAGACTGACCACCTGATCCCATTAGTCGCCTCTTGTGACAAGCAGACGTTTACCACTTCGGTGAAACCCATGAGCACGGATATGGTGCTGACAAACCTAGAAACATAATCAAACTGGGATTCGAACCAACAATTATAGGTTTCTAGTGTGCACATTGATGACCAAAATGACAGACAAGTGGTAATGTGCACCCTTTATTGTATGCATCTCTGTATTGAAAGACTGATTAGCACATGGTACTGATGCATCTATTTTGATGCCAACATTCGTAAGGCCACAAAAAAAGTCATCAAGTCACCTGGCCAGGTGCCACATTGCCAACATTGTACAACTCCCCCATTCCATTCATAATAGACATTACAAATGTAACTATTTCTTGTATTAAATAGTTACAGCCCTCCTTCCTTTCTCAGACAAAACATGAACTGAGTTAAACAAATTCAAATGAAGTGAATGAACATATAAGATTATTTCTTTGAAAAAGGAAAGCAGAAAGAATTTAACACATGATAAACTGTACATACAAATCCTGTAGCTGTATGACAAATATGTAGACTCTCTGAGATACTGCATAGCAATTGATTACTATGATTGATCATAAACAAAACTGATTAATAGGTAAAATATAGCAGCATGTGTATGCATGAGTGAGTGAGTGCCTTAGTCCGGACTGATGCTGATTTATAGCGCTGGTTCACTGAGATACCATGCCGCAGTTTAACATGAATACCCCACTCAGACACAGCATACAGACTCAGAGTCAACCAGTCCTTGTTTTGGTCCTGTAATGCCGGGCACAAGGCAGGGTAACAACAAGTACCATCTTTCAACGTCTTTTGGAATGGCACGACCAGGGATAGAACCCTGAACCTTCTACTCCAGGCGGACGCTCTACCACGAGACCACAGAGACGGCCTAAAATGGCTTAGGGTCAATTGACAATGACCAATATTAAAATTACAGCATCATGATGACTGCAAAGGGTAGTCTCCTCTACCCCAATCGGTTTGTTTTCTTTGTTTTTGTTCCAAGCTATGAGGGATCTGTAATAATGAAATTTGGACCAGACAAAACAGTGATTGATATTGTCAGCAACAATCCACACCAACCGACCAAGTCCCGACAATGACCACCCAATACCTTAATACGCTTCTTGAAGCCCCAAATAGCTGAAAAATTGATGATGCAGCATTAACCAATCATCACTCAATTGCTCACTAACATGGGTGTCTGATCCCACAGAGAGTCTGGGTAAGAAAGGTCCCAAGTACTTCATTCTTGTCTTCCTGTGAGCATTCAAAAATTTTCTCAAGCAACTCGTGACAATCACTCACACTACTAATCAGTCCTGAAGTTAGTCACTCACACACACAAATCAGTCTTTGAGTTAGTCGACCATGACTAACAGAATGAACATTGTTGTTTAACACCGCACTCAGCAATATTCCAGCTATATGACGGCAGTCTATAAATAATCAAGTCTGGCCCAGAAAATCCAGTGATTGATCCACACGATTGAGATACAATGACATGCTTCAACCAAGTCAGTGTGCCTGACCATCCGATCCCGTTTGTCATCGCTTGTCCGCCGCTTACGACAAGCAGTCACCTTTTACGTCAAGCTTGGGTTGCTGAAGACCTATTCTAACCTGGACCTTCGTCTGGAGAATAAACATTAGTCAACACTGCAGGTAAATGACAGTCTTAACTGTAAGTTAATTTCAACACGTTCACCTTTACTTGCACACTCCATACACCGCCACCATTCTGCCCTACCAATCCCACCCCCCCTGCCGTCATTCGCATTTCATTCAACCAAGGTCTGTCACAAAATCATTACAAGAATATTGTAATTAGTCTGAATGGAACATGCAAATTAGCCTAAATGTATCACAAAGTAGAAACAAATACATTTTTGTGTTTAAAATAAGACCAACATGTACACATAATGTTTTTGCTCCAAGGGAAACACAAAGTCACACCAACAAGCTGACATTGGTGGCACACACAGCCTTAAGGGAGTGTATGTGTGCAGGGGGAAGTGCTACTCTGTTTAAAAGCAAATGAAACAAACGTATGTACATTTGGAAGCTTGATGGGATATCCTTAGTGTTAACAAATCACAACACCTTCAAAGGCCAGTACATCAACAGTTCTTGGTGTTCTTAAATCATGCATGTATAATTTCCGATGCGACATCACACCTTTAGGTCATGCATGATTGAATTCTCAAACCAACACAGTAGAGTTTCGCTGAGCAGATTAACTGGCTTCGCTCATGTTATTATAAGAGGCAAAATGAGAAAGCTTGTGTGTTTTTCTTAGGGATGATTTACAAAATACTAATTACCAGCTTGACTGAATTAGAAGCCATCGCTCATCAGAGCCGAGATTATAATATCAATGCCTCGGTTGTGTTGAAGCCAATCATGTTGCCAATCACTCTCCTACCCAGAGCTCCTTGTGGCCAGCCATGTACCTCTGCCATATCATCACATCTTATGCAGCCCATTCAAGATATTGCATGTGTTTTTGATGGGTGTACATATTTAGATATCATATGTAATGTGGTCTCTGGTGCAGAAACTTCTCTCGTGGAATAAGGCGAGCATAGCCAAGTTAGCCCGGGGATATTTGGATATTGTTTGCAAACAGTGTTTGTTGTTTGTTGTTTAACACCGCATTCTGCAATATTCCAGCTATATTCCAGCGGTCTGTAAGTAATCAAGTCTGGACAAGACAATCCAGTTATTTACATCATGAGCATCGATCCACACAATTGGAATACAATGACATGCATAAACCAAGTCACCGAAGCATGACCACCCAATCCTGTTAGTCGCCTTTTACGACAAGCATTGTCACCTCTTACAGCAAGTATGGGTTGCTAAAAACCTATTCTATCCCGGATCTTCATGTGTCTTGCAAACAATGCTTCAGAAGGGTTGACGTACTGGCTATTTAACAACAATCAAAATAACAAGAACTAGCAAACTCGAACTGCCATGTGGATTGTCAGCATTCCATTTGTTTACTTGTCATCACACCTCCTTTTCCCCAAATCTGCATCCACAGTTGCACATCAATAATCAGAATGCGTTCAGAAAGACTTCATCCCTCCACCCATGTGATACCTCGCGTAACCTTGGGCTTCTCAATGACAAGGTATAACTGTCTTCATCTTTGGTTTCAAGAGAAATCAACTTCAAATTGTCAGTGAATTTTGAGTTGGGATAATGAACAGTTATATCCAAATCACAAGCTTTTTTCCAGCAACGACGATCACAGACTTCATGAAGAAGAAATGGCTTGAAGGGCTTCCTCTTCTGAATGCTCTCTTGTTTTGCTGAGGTTGTCATTACCAGAATGAGGCTCATCACCAGAGTGAGGCTCACCACCTTTGACCTCTAATCCATTCATCTGTGATTGGTCAGTACCGGTACTTTCTGATACTAAAACTGTTTCAGAATCAGAGTTTATCTGAAACAAATCACAAGCAGACTATAAACTAGTGAGTGGGTAAGTGTCTGGTATTTGACACTGAAAAAAATTCAAATTTCCAAAAAATACTTTCCTTTATTACATATGACCATCAAAAGTGTAGAAACGTCTTTTATTTACCCTGTGGTCGTCCGAACCATTGCTAACTGTTCCTGGTTGTAATCCAAAATAACTGTCATTTCAAGAAAGTCAGATGAAGTCAGATGGGGTTCAACACCACGTTCAAGATTATTGTACTTACATAGTAATGTGCATGCAGGTGTATGTGTGTGAGTCTACATGTGCGTGTCTGCTTGTACTAGCCTATACTTATGTCGGCTTCATTGAGTTAGTCCATTGAGATACCAAGCTGCAGTTTAACATGGATACCCCATTCAGACACAGTATACTGACTTCATGTTGACCAGTCTTTGATTTATCCCCTTAATGCCAAGGGTCAAGCAGGGTAACAACAAGTACCATTTTTCGTGTGATGTGGCTGAGGATCAATCCACTGACCTTCCGCTCTCCAGGCAGACACTAGGCCAAGGAGGCAGTCCGTCATTTTTAGAAAGATAAATGAAGACAAATTAAAGGAATATTATTTCTAAAAGGAACTAAATCAAAGACAGCCTATTCTTCAGATGTATTGCATTGTTCTAAATAGTTCAGCAATATGACGTTATGTTGTTTGAATTGACCAATCAACAGTGAGAATCACTGATGAAGCACTTAAATGTCAAGACATCCTACCTGTTCATGACTACTGCTGGAGTTGTCTCCCCCTGTTCCAGCCAATCTCTCAGCATCTTGACTGGATGCTCCCTCCAACACGTTATTACTGGAACTTGTCCCTGTGTCATTTGATTGGCTGGAGGAACTGTCACTTGACGCCAGAGTTGTAGAGGATGTGGACATCTGCCAGGATGGAAGCACTGGAGATGTCTGCGGAACTGGGGGAAACTGACGCCTGGGATAAACAATTCAGCAGGGTTTTACCAGTTGCACAATGTTTCATCCGAGAACTGACACAAATAATTTGCCCTGCTTTATTTTGATCTTTCCTCCCACACTAGACACACAATGATACGACCAGAGCTAGAAATTATTTTATATTTTCAGTAGTGCTAAAATGAATGCTTCCTCAAAGAACTATGTTAATGGTCTTGTTTGGTTTGTTGTTTAACGCCACACTTAGCAATATTCCAACTATAAGACAGCGGTCTGCAAAAAATTCGGTCTTGACCATACAATTCAGCGATTGACATCATGAGCATCGATCCACGCAATTGGGGATCAACTTGTATGAACTTACGACAAGAATAGTCGCCTTTTACGGCAAGCATTGGTCGCTGAAGACCTGTTCTACCCCGGATCTTCACGGGTCAGCTATGTTAATGTACCACCCTAGTGGCTGAAGCATGGCTTGAAAATGCATGAAATACAATAAATCCACTGAGTAAAATTCAGACTTCTGAGTCACTATTTGAGATGCAACACACCTGCTGAGTAGCAAGCCCTTCAGTGAGGATACCTCAGTCTTCACATCTTGCAAAAGATCCATGTCTTTACCCTTCACAGCAGTGTAGGAACCCTGAAATCAGACAACCCTTAGTGCATTGAACTGCCATGCAGAACTCAAACATAAATTTCTGAAGGCATTAAACAACTGTTAGTATACTCAGACACAATATACTGACTCTGAGCCGACCAGTCCTTGTTTTGGCCCCTTAATGCCGAGCGCCAGACAGGGTAACAACAAGTACCATCTATTAATGTCTTTTGGTATGACGCGGCCGGGGATCAAACCCCGGACCATCCGCTCTCTGTGCGGACACACACAGGAAAGAAGTGAGGTTTTCCCGCATGGTGCATGCGCAGAACAATGGAGGAGGAAAACTATTATCCACAAAACTAATTAGGATCATCTGTCATTGAAGAGGACTTCTGTTGAAAATCTGAAAGATTCTATAGAGTGATCACAGTCAAAATACGGGATTATGGCAATGATGTAATGGAGGTATGGTAGTTGTAGGAATTTGCAGTGGTACCTGTGCTGTGTGAGTGATTGCTGCCAGAGATGCCTGTTGTGTGGTCAGCGACTCCTGGATGGACTTGAGCGTCTCCTGGACCTGGACCATGTTCTGGTTGAGGTTCTGCAGCTCCACCAGCTGCTGCTCCAGGCGATCCATGCGACTGTCATCCTGGGCTGACTTACCCTGGAGCCAGGGCCTAATGTACAGCTGTAACCATGGCAACAAGATGTTAGATAACACCACATTACCCCTAACCCTTCCTCAGGAGCAATGCTGTAAGTGAGGTGAGGTGAAATAGGGTTTAACGTATCATTCAAGATTATTGCACTTATATATACTGACTCCAAGCCAACCAGTCCTTGTTGTAGCTGAGCGCCAGGTATGGTAACACCAAATTACCATCTTTTAACATCTTTTGGTATGATGTGATGCCATGGATCAAACCCTGACCTTCTACTCTCCCAGCAGATGTTTTTATCACCAGACCATAGGCGGAACAGGGGCGGTGTCCAGGGAGTCTGGTAGTACTAGTAGGCTATAGTAGTTCAACCATCTTGATTACCTCAGCACTTGGCCTAAGCCAAGAGGATCATAATATGCAGAGCGAAGTGACAAACGTGTGATGTCATTATATTTTTACAGGAGTGTATGGGTATTTACAAGACAGCAAATTGCCAGTCAGATAGCAATATTCCCTAACGAGTAATAATAATACCTGATACATTCTGTACATGGCATACGAGATGCTGGATACAATGACAGCGGTAGTGGTGAAATCCTTCACTCTCACCCAGTTCGATGGCAGCGGTGCTATAGGAAAATGTGATAAAATGGTCAAGCACTACACACACAACAATTTTCCTAGCTTACCTGGGCAATGGCCTATATCTATCAGTATTTATTGGACAGAACACTTCACAACCTAAATATTAGGTTCATAGCTTCTTCATTTTGGACTTATTTTTCAAATCATTGACTGGCATCAGGTACAAAATAATGTTGTCAAGGAAAAAGATGTAGCACAAATGGGCCTTTTACTTGATTGATATTTACAAGAAAGGTATTTACAGTGATAGAAACTAACAGTTTTAGTCTACTTGTTCTTATAATAACACATAGCAAACACATAGCACAGGGCAAATTTCTACTGGTCCTCATGATACCTTAACTATTGGGCAGTTTAGCAAGGACTATAGGACTAGTGCCAATTTCTATCGCTGCTTTACATGACACTAAATTTAAATGTTTCTAAACAGTTTACAGTTTTAAATCTGTTTACAGGTTTTATAATAAGTATAAGATATCAAAATAAATCTTGAAAGTCAGATTCTGTGACTTTGTAAGGGCTCTTAATGCTTCGTTGTGTTTTTAGAATTTCATGGCTTTACAAAATAAAACATCTAGAAAAATGGATCCAAATTCACGGCCCTTTCAGACATGTAAGACTATGCTAGAATCCTACAGTTGTGTACCTTGAAGGGGTGGCTGCACAGCAAGTGCATGCTGGAACGGCCCCGGGGGGTACTGTGCCTGTTGGGGTTGGGGTGTGGCTTGGTCAGTTACTCCTGCCTTCTGCACAGCAAGATCTATCTCCTCTTTGGTGAGACCTGAATGTAAGACAGGTGGTGTATTTAACATTGCGTTCAGGGTTATTGCACTTACATAGCAGTGTGTCTGTGTGTGTGTGCGTGTGCATGCGTGCGTGTGTGCGTGAGTGCGTGCGTGAGTGTGCGCGCGCATGCACAGTCTCTATGTGTCTGTATGTGCCAGAACAGGTCTGCAAGCAAGGAAATATCAAATTGGTTAGTTAAATGGTTGCAATGTTATAAAGTTTTCAATGTCACAGTGGGGTACACCAAAAATGGGCTTCACATCATACACATGTGGGGAATTGAAACCTGATCCTTTGGTGTAGCGACATTTTAACCAGTAGTCAGTGTCAGAAATTAACACTAGCCCACTAGCCCACATCATTTGCAAGAATTAAAGTACTATGGACTGCTTCACATTAGTGAGTGAGTGAGTTGGGTTTAACTCCGGTTTTAACAGTATTCCATGTCATGGCATTTCAGCTTAATGTGTGAGGAAAGCCCGAAGTGATGCAGGTCTCAGATGTTTACCACTTAAGTGAAACCCAGTGGTGCTGACAAACCTAGAAACATAATCGGGGCGAACCTGGATTCGAACCCACAATCATAGGTTTCTGTCGTGCCCAAGGGATGCAACTCTGCACAGCAAAACTACTGGGCCACCCGTGCCCCCTGCTCCAGATAGATTATCAGTAAATAATTACAGGCAGACATATGGATGGATGACAAAGAGACATGCTGAACGTGACACCCTGCATCATGCCAAAGGGAGAAACAGTAGCCACGATTCACAGGAACCACTTCACATTAACAACATGATGAAACCAATGACTAATCAGCGCAGAGCAAAAATGGTAAATTTTACATTAAATTGTATATTTATTTACATTTAATTGTATATTTATATGGTTATCCTATCTCACACTATGCATTTCTTCCTTCTTCTTTCAATCCTTATGTGGAAGCTTGCTTGAAGTAAGTTTCAAGCTTCTAAAAACATTTCACCCAAACACATCCCAGCATCACCATGGTCACCACCCAAACAAATGGGTACACACTGTAATCCCGTGTATGTAACCTTTCACGACTACATAACCTGACTACCCCTGCCATATTACTCTCTTTCTTAGAGCTGACAAGCTAGAGAAACTGTGGCTGGTCAGGTGGGCATATAGCGTGTGAGACAGGATAAACATAAAAATATACAATTAAATGTAAAATTTAAAAATTTTTAAACTTATCCTATCTCACTATATACATTTATCCCATGGTTGCATGAGGGGGTGCAGATACCCCAGTCTGCAGTAGACTGCAACAGTGAGAAGTTCATGAGGAAGCTGCTTGAGATAGTGAGTGAATGAGTGAGTTGGGTTTAACTCACTTTTAGCAGTATTACACTTATATTGCGGCGTGTCGGCTTAATGCGGGAGGAAAGCTCTAAGTGATCATGGTGATGCAGGTCTCAAAAGTTTACCATTTCGGTGAAACACACGAGCATGGGTACTGACAAACCTAGAAATATAATCACAGGCGTGATCAGGAGGGTGGGCGCTCGCGGGAACATACAAGAAGGCATTATGACGCCTTCCTGAACGGAAGGCGCGTACTCGCTCTCGAGGCACAGCATTCAAAATGGCGTTGCCGGGTGTCAGGGCCGCTCTACTCGAGTTGGCATTAGAGGAATTCTCAAGGCTCGCGGAGGCTATGGATGCCACATATCTGGATAACGCCCACACAGCTCTTAGTGTTTTATCACAAGACAGAAGAGGGATCAAAGTTCCACTTGGCACAGTACGCATAGAGGACTATGTAGAGGCTACCGTACCTCGATACAGCGACCCCCTGTTTAGGGCTCACTTCGGGATGAACAGAACGTCCTTTGAGGTTGTAATATTATTTCCAGTTGTGAATAAAAACAAAAATTGTCATAGCTAGAATATCTGATATCTGAACATCGCTTGTGTACACCTGGATGGACAAACAGTGTGTAGAATTTTGTATTGTCTTCGTTTGTTATGCACAGTTCCATCATTTTCACAATGTTGGACGCCATCTTGAATGACTAGGTGAACTACCTCCCGCGCTTGACCGCGAGTACACGCGTGCGCTCGCTCGGTCAGGCAAGCTGCCGCCCTCATGAACATGCCTCAGGATGAACGGGATTCGAACCCACAATCATAGGTTTCTGGCGTGCCCAAGGGATGCAACTCTGCACAGCAAATCACGGCGCCTTTGACGACTAGGCCACCCGTGCCCCCTGCTCTAGATAGATTATCAGTACTGAGGACCTAAAGTTTACATTAATCTTATTATGAATTGAAGCAAATATGATGCCATAATTAGGAGAAACATACATGCAAACCTTTCTTCAATCTGGCAATTTCAAAATGGTCAAAACGCAATAGCCAAAACTACGTCAAAATTAGAAATATGGTAAAACACAGAACATTAGTTGCAAACCCAACTAAACAGACACCAAATTCCTTTCATTTTGAACACAAATGGCTGATTTCTGGTTATACTTAGTTTTTTTTAAATATGGCTCCTGTGGTGGCCATATTGAATATCGGACTCAAACCTCTCAAACAAATTGTCATCATTGGTGACAACATGTGAAGTTTCAACTTCATTGATCAACTGCTTTCGGAAAAGAATATGTTCATGACACATGACAGACATACAGGCCACAACATCAGCTCACTTTATCTACCATGATCTACAGACAGGTTAGCTCATAAAAGCTCCAGTCCAGATAAACCATTTATGGAGTTAACTCATTCAAATTTTTAGTGAACATACAGAAGGATGGAAAACAAGCTAAAATAACTCAGTTCGGGTAAGTTCAGTTACAAAAGTCAAACAAAGATTATGAAAACTGATTCAAACTTACATGGAGGACAGTAACATTCTTGAGTAATTGTGAAGACAACATGAAGAATATCCTACCTTTCTTTTCAAGAAATGCCTTCCTCTGATACAGTGGACTCTGTTGGACTTTGGGATTCTGCAAGAACTTCACAGCAGTACTTATCTAGAAATGGTAAACCATTGTTAATGATGCGAGGTATTATCAATACCATACATAGGCATGATCTTGACTTTGTCACATTAATCATCATGACCCTTCTATGTTGAGAACAATATTCCAGCTATATTACGGCGGTCTGTAAATAATCGAGTCTGTACCAGACAATCTAGTGATTGACATCATGAGCATCAATTCCTGCAATTGGGATAAGATGACATTCATCAACCAGGTCAGCGAGCCTGACCACCCGATCCTGTTAGTCGCCTCTTACGACAAGCATAGTCGCCTTTTACTGCAACAATGGGTTGCAGAAGACCGTTTCTACCCTGATCTTCACGGGTCCCATAATCATCTACCAAACATGCCCCAAGGCTAGTTTAGTAGTATTACTAGCAACATATTCAAAAATGCTTTACTCTAAAAAGCCACATTTCCTGTTCGCTATTGTTAATTCATAGTCACAGAAACTATATAACAATATTTTATCGACAATATTTGCTTATGTCTTTTACTATAGTTATCTTCAATTCACAATAAATTGTCTCCATGTTAAATCAGTAAGAATCAATGCTTAACAAAAGAATACATTAGCATGATTGGGAGCTGTTAATCATGTACATGTTCATCAGAACATGCAAGTATTCTTGACTACCATCATCTTCCCAAAGCAAAGGGAGTTCACTGACTCTAAAAGTCAAGTTTCCAATCTTGCCGAACTAGGATGGAATTTCTGGGCTTGATTGTAGCGCCAGTACCAATTATGCCCCTTCTATATCCATCCTATTGACAAATCAGATTCCACATCTCATATCACTTGCATTTGTTTCAAACAAAATGGTGGCGCCCAGTCAAGACGAGCTGATCGATAATCAAAATCGTTTTTGTTAATAAGCATCTTATTTCACTAAGTGCATGCAATCATGTGACCACCTTGATTATAAACATGAAAAGATTTGAAAAATTATGGAGTTGATGCCGTGGTAGATGGACACATGCAAGGCAAATCCTGCAGTTGACCAAAATCTTCACAGCAGTTTACGAAACAGATGTCGATTTCATTACGCAATTATGATTGGACTATGCATAGGCTCATTAGTCCTGCCAAAATATAACTCCATAATTGCAGCCTAGTTTGGCAAGGGTGGAAACTGGACTTTTTTAGTCAGTTAACTCGCTTGCCTCGGAAAAATGAACTACCATATGAAGGTTTCATATTAATTCATGCCAAATACAAAAAATGAACTTACAAGATTTTCTCTGGGCCCATCTGCTGGTGCCAGAACATCTTTTGTTACCTCAATAGTCTGAAACACAGCAACAAAAGCTAGACATTTGACATCTGGAATATATCATACTTCATATGGTGAACATACTGTATCATGACATAAATGTATTGACCATCATTTCAACTGACCATTCTTTGCAATCTGCAAACAACATAGAACATGTGAGTGAATATCATTGACACAAGGGTGAGTTCGCTTTTGAATCAATACTGAATGAATGTAGTGTGTGAAAGTGGCTTGTGACAATGTTCCAGGACAGTTTCCAGTAGCCACAATACTCGACACTAAATCATTTCATCCTATTTTTCTCGGCATTTTTGTGTGAAGAATATTAGGAGCAACTACAGAATCAATAATACTAATAGCCACTTAACGGGTGCCTAACCCTAATGATCATAAGGGGGTGATTGATCATAAAGGGAATCCTAGGGCTAAGGATAGAGTTCGGGGTAACCTACCCTAAGACCAGCAACATTTGGATGTGTTGTGTGTGCCAATATAATATTACCTAATAAACTGCATTCCTGTGCATAATAATAAAAATTAATAAAAAGAAAAAACAATATATGTATATTAGTTCCCATTTATCATCAATTTAGCCAGTTGAATTACAAATTAAACGAAATAAAAAACATATTGAAAATGCTTTCGTAAACTAGCGCTTGCTATAAAATGTGCCGCCGCAGGCTAAATTTAGTAAACAAATATTCAAAACTCTCAACATTGCTGAGCGTATTCAATGACATTGCGTGTAGAGATGAAAGATCACTGTGAGGAGCTTATGCACACTCGATGACCCAAGACGTCACAGGGCATTGTTTCATTGTGGCAACAAAATACTACAAATTACGTCATAGGGTATTGTCATGGGTTTGAAAAGTTTGTGGTACTGTATTCTGAAGGTAGGCCGAATAAATACATTTTTATTACGAATGTAAAGAGAGTGTTATTTTTCAAACTTCTTACTTCATGAAGAATGTTACATTCTGGAAGCAGTTTATATATTTTCTATGTCCAATACATATGTTCACGCATACTGGACACACAATTATGTGTAAGGTAAAACCCTGGTGCCCATTAACAAGCAACATGAGGATCAAGTGGCTGCAATGTGTGACCTGGTTAATTGCAAGCCATTGCACTGTCAACATATTTGTGTGTTTGTTGTTTAACAGTGCACTCAGCTACATGAAGCCAGTCTATAAATAATCAAGTCTGGACCAGACAATCCAGCGACTGACATCATGAGCATTGATTTACCGACAACGCATATGGGATACGACATTCATCAACAAAGTCAGCGAGTCCGATCCCGTTAGCACTGGTTAGTCACTGTTAGTCGCCTCTTTCGAGAAACATGGGTTGCTCAAGGCCAATTCTAACCTGGAATCCTAGCGGTACCAGTTCAAAGGTCATTGTGATTAATTTATTGTTTTCGAAATAAAACACGAATGTCTATGTCCAAAAAGGAAAATTGGCCAAATCAGTTCAAAGGTCATGATTCGATCTTACATCTTGAGTATTGACACCTATGCTTTAATCCGAAAAATAATATTCTCAACAAATGAATATGACACATGCCATGTCATTTTTGCGCTTCACCCTGTGATGGCAAATGAGCAGGACTGTTGTCATCGAAGAAACTATTAACTCACATCGGGAACTTTCCCTGACTCGTCGGCCATGTTGATGCCTTCAATGTAAAATTTGTATCTAGACAACTGATTGGATTCTAGTTTTTCCTCCAGCCAATCAAATAGGATCTTATGACACACAAAACAGGAAGTTGATCTCTACAAGTATTTGTCAAAAGAAGAAATGTGCATTGGCGTTTCGTTAATTAAAACGATATCGCCAGATACTTTATGATCATTTTGGCGTTAATTTAAAATTAACGTCCAATGATTTTACTGATAAGATAAACCAGTTTCGTAGCATATCAATTCAAAATAAAGTCTTATCTACATGAGGATTTTAGCGATATAAAGCTAGTTGTTGCACATATATCATAAATCAAGTCAAAGGCGGACAAACTTGAAAACATTTCCTTATGAGATTTAGGTAAATGTACAAATTTGGCTGGTAGTGTCTGTTATTGCCTGTTATGGGTTTACCAACTATTGATTATTGATCCATGCACTTGATAAATTACCCTTCCCTCATAATAATGAAAACGGGGTAAAAGCTCTAAAGCACTTTTCTTGTGTTTTGTTTATCAGTCATCTATATTTCATTTTACAATGAATTTGGAAAATGCTGGGTAAGACTGCAGTTTACCGCCTGCAGTTTATAGCGCTTAGTGTCTCCAGCTGCAGGCTGTTGCTCTCGCTTCACTGATCTCGGGTGTCACTTTGATAGATCGTTACAGGGTTATGGTAGGTTACCCCTATGATATGATTCACTTCAAATACTTTATTTTGCGTGTAGCGAATAGCGGTCAACGTCAACAGAATGTCAAGGCCATTCAAAGTCTGGAGTGGCGACCGAACCAATAAGAAGTCCGTGACTGCAGCCACGCTACATGAGCTCGTGTTTAAGGGTGTGTAACTGTAACACATGACAAATATAAGAGGAAGATGTGAGCTATAAATTACCATCAAATTACAAAGTAGACACAATTTATGTATCGCAACTTTTTTATTTTGCTGTAATAGCGATGTTTAGCTCATATTACTGTTGTCAAGCAAGACCGAATAATTTGAACATGGTACAGAATTATATATGGTAGCAGGATTAACATTAGTGGGTAAATAAAAACACCAGAAGGATAATAATTGTAACATGATGGTCAGAGGACACATGATGAGGAAGCCAATTGAACCATCACATAGGCAATATCTCCACCATGCAAGCACAATAGAAGTACAAGACTTGTGTATGCTTAAACAAAATATCCTTGGTTTCACAGACTGAATCTTTGTCTCATTTTCAATAAATGTTCTTGTTATTAAGTGGACAGTTAATATTTGGCTAATGTCACAGACAAAAAGTTTTATGAGGGAAGTTGGTGTATTACAGGGAGAGAGAAGCTGGGACTGGCGAACACAGAGGTGGTGAGGGTGGTGCTGGAAGAAGATGGAACAGAAGTAGACGAGGAGGACTACTTCACCTTTCTCTCCAACAATGCAACGTTGCTGATGTTGCGAACCTCGGAGAAGTGGAGGCCACAGGGAGCAGGTCAGGGCTCTTGTTAAGCCTTTTCCCAGGAGACAAGTGGCTCTTGATCTGTTGATTATAAAATCTTAAACAAGAATACAACAATACAAGTAACTGTAAACCACGGATGTATATATACGTCTCTGAGTAAACCAATTGGCTTGGAAATACTGTGGATTCCTAGAACCTTTTAGTCAAATAAGCTTTTGAATTTTGTTTGTTTGACCAAAGATATCTTTGATAATTCAATTGTAGTCTCAAAGATCTTTGAAGAGATGTCTGATTTTAATAACATTGCAAACACACACTGTTGATAGAGGAGGTGTCTCGTGATGAAGTGGACACGATGGACGGGGCCCAGGGAATGTCTGAGCGGGTCAAACAGCTGGTCAGCGGGCTACAGAGGGATGTATCGCGGATCATTACATTTTCCAACGAGGACTTGCAGGTAGAGAAATACTTGGTTATATCTTTTTTGAATCTGTCATAGTGAATAAATCTTCTGAAAGCTTTGAAGAGCCAGAAATATATTTTTGATAAGGGGACAGATCATTTTGTTTTCCTTTTCTTAACGAACAAGCCAACCTGATATTTGGAGAAAATAAAAGTAAGGCAAGTGATTAATTCATATAATTTAGGTCAAATGAGCTTCATGTGTAAAAGTCATGGCCTTAGGTTTTAGAAATCCAGGACCATGGGACCATGAAATAGAGGATTTATTTTTTTCTGGGTTAATGACAAAGGCACTCACAAAAATCAGAAGCTCTGGTCACAGAATATTTACTGATTCAGCATGACAATGTATGAATATTTGATTGTGTGTATTATCTTTACTATTTGTCTAGACCTTCTCAGAGGCTGATATTCAGCCCCAACACTGCAACAAATGTCTGTAAACTTAATATACAGTGATCCTTCGCTACAACGCTACCTTGGGGTCCAAATAATTGATGACTGTTATAAACAATCTGCAGTTTAACAGAGGTGGAGTTGTAGGTGGTAGATGACCAACAAAACAGTATACATGCTCTGCCTACCTAACACGATCTACGTTGCACGTTTCTGAGTTTAAAAAAAAGATTAGAATAGTAGTTTATAATTCATAGTGTAAAGAGAATTGTATCGAGTGTTATGTGCTTTAAAAAAAACACATCATATTCCTTTAGCAAATTCAGGTGAACGAACAGGTATAATAAACTTGGTCAATAAATGTTATGACTTTTAAGAGGCAACTTGTATTTCACTGATAACAAGAGCAGTAAACATGATAAACAGGAAGAGGCATTTATCCTTTGTGTTACCATGGCTACATTATTGCATTGAATGGGACCTGTGAAGATCCGGGGTAGAAAAGGTCTTCAGCAACCCATGCTTTCCGTAAAAGGCAACTATGCTTGTCATAAGAGGCGACTAACGGGATCGGGTGGACAGGCTCGCTGACTTGGTTGATGCAGTGTTAAACATGTTATAATACCTCTGAGTTGAAGAAAATATGAACGTTAAACAAATTCAAATTTGGAACAAGTTAATGATTCTTTCCCAATTTGCCTGCCAAGCGCACTTAGTTTGGAATCCTATAAATCCTGCAATTGTTCAACTCTCTTGTTAAAGCAAGTTGTGGACATATCGGTGGAAGACTCAGTGTGACAGTGTATCTATATTTGTTTGTGTCCAATATGTTTACTGTTGTTGAACCTTCTTGTTACAGCAAATTGTGGACATATCGGTGGAGGAGCTGGCTTCACTGCTCCAGGACACGGAGAGTTATGCCAAGGCTCTGCAAGACTCCTGTAGTCGACACCTGGATGAGAGACAGCAGGCCGCAGAGGCCATCGACCTTCTGCGTCTCTACCACAAGGCAAGGCAGCACAGCCCATATGTGGAGGCTGGCAAGAAGCGGAAAGTCGAGGACAAGGAATAGACTTTTTATCATGAATTCATACTATCAATCATCTCTGCATTATTACGGGGGGCCACGGGGGGGCCCAGTTGTCTAAGGTGCCGCAATTTGCTGTGCAGAGTTGCATCCCTTAGGCACGCCAGAAACCTATGATTGTGGGTTCGATTCCCGGTTCGCGCCGTTTATGTTTCTAGGTTTGTCAGCACCAAACCCGTGCTCGTGGGTTTCACCGAAGTGGTAAACGTCTGATAACTGCATCACTTCGAGCTTTCCTCCCACATTAAGCTGACACACCGCGATATAACTGGAATACTGTTAAAAGCGGCGTTAACCCCAACTCACTCACTCACTCTGCGTTATTACAGATGTCTTGGTACATGTGTAGGATGGGAGTCAACATTTCATATAATGTGTGCAAGTGAATATACTTTAGCATTAGTTTTCGTTACAAGTTGAAGGAGTAATGTTTTACTATTCACAGCAGGACTGACTTTTTATTCTGTTAATGTAAACATTCCAACTGTGAGTTGTGTCCAAATTATCATGTCTGACAATGGCCACCTTACTCGGAAATGAAATCCAACCCAATACACTTTAGAACAATAGGGGCACATGTGGCCCTTGTGTCCAAGACACCACAACTCACTGGCAGAGTTATGTCCCTTAGGAGTGCTGGATTCTGTGATCATGGGTTAGTACGCTGATTATGATCCTTGGCTTAGCACCATACCATGTGGGTTTCACCAAAATGGTAAAAGTCTGTGACCATTACAAATGGTTTCACCAAAGTAGTCAGCGCTCAACCCTTTGGAGTGTACTAGCCTAAACAAGGTCCTTAGCATCATTTTCAGTTGATTTTAGTGTTATTACAGACCACTATTAGGTGAGCTTACTGGACCGAATAGGATGTTTAAGACTCGGACTTTGGACTGCTTGCTAAAGTCGAAGACTGCCAAATTGGTAAAAGTCTGTGACTTGCTTCCTTTTTGGCTTCTTCCAGTATTGAGCTGACACACTGACCTTGTGAACAGCCTGACACTCAACCCACTCAGTGTTGCTAACATGGAAACCAAAACATACTCTGCACGTTATGATGAGAGCCAGGTTATTGATGGTTACCAAGCAACAGTTTTAGGAGTGAAGACATAGTTGACATTTCCATCTTCTTTATTCTTTCAATAAGTTTCATTGCAATTTTGGATAAAGTTACAAGCATCTGAACTGAAACATTACATTGAACACTAAGCAGCTGGAATCCATAAGTCCACTTCATTTATACTGCAGTCTCTAAAGCTCTACTTAGATGTCATGTATTATTAGGGAGTGATCATTTATCATGAACCTTCACAGATCAGTGAGTAATCATTTATCATGAACTTTCACAGAACTGTGTCATCATTTATCATGAACTTTCATAGAAATGGGTCATCATTTATCATGCACCTTTATGGAAATATGAGTAATCATTTATCATGAACCTTCACAGATCAGTAAGTAATCATTTATCATGCACCTTCACTAATCAGTGAGTAATCATTTATCATGAACCTTCACGGAACAGTAAGTAATCATTTATCATGAACTTTCACAGAACAGAACATGTTTAGAAATAACATGGAAACTTTTGACACAACCCCTCACTGGTACTAAAGTACTGCATTACTGAACGTCCTTTTTCTGGTTTACCAAGATATGTTTTGTAGAATGGCAGCAATTCAAGATGTTTTACATGGTACATGTGTTTTATTTTTCATGTCATGTTAGTGTGTGAATTGTTTGTTGTTTTGTCCATTGATAAGGGTAGTGTCAATGAAGGCATTACTTCCCTTGTCACAGTCAGTTTTTATGAAGGAACAAGTGCCTTTGATCAGTTCAGTGGCATCATTATCAGTTTATTATCATGCATTAAGGGAAAGATGGTACTGTTTTGAGTGTTTATCTTGTTGATGTGTTTAATGGATACCATGGGATCAACATTATAAATGTGTTACATTAAATGTAACTTGATTGTAATCACCTTAGGAGACAGGAAAAGTGACATATTTTGTCAAGTTGCTTTCACTGCACATCAGAAACAATCACATGTATCACAAACCTCCTAATCACCAGTGTAGTTTTTATAAATGTTAATGATTTTGATATCTTATTTATCTAATTGAATAAATTGTTTTGTATTTTTCGTTCTTGTGGTTATGGTGGAATGGGTGGCCACGTGATCACTTGCTGTCGAGATCAGCTGATGGTAGGTTTGAATCCCAGGTTGGTCTTGGTTATGATTTAGAGAATAACCAACGGGCTATGAGGAACTACAGATTATCTGTCTTAATAGACTGAATGGTGAAACCATGAGGTTTTGAGGAGAGCAGCAAGTATTCCCCAGGAACAGAAAATAGGTAATTCTGGCTTTGACTACCAGTACCTCATTCAATGGTATAATTGTAATGTTTAGAAAGAAAATAAATAAAAACAAATTGAATGACAACACTACTAGAAAAATTCAACGAAGTTAAACCACCTTGGTGGTCATGTGGATAGAACGTATGCCCGGAGAGCGTAAGGTCGATGGTTCAATCCCTGGCCACGTCATACTAACAGACAATACCAGAGGGTAACTTGTTACCCTGCATGGCGCTTGGCATAAAGGAGATAAAACAACGACTGGGCGGCTCGGATTCTTTATTTTCTGTGTTTGAGTGGGGTTTCCATTTTCGGGAGTCCTTATTTTTTTGTGTTCCTCATCTCAAAGGTTTTCCAGAGGGGGGCGGATGCCTCATGCCAAGAATCGGAGAAACCAGGCTGTAGGAGAACTGCATGGTTGCCATTGCCTTAATGCCCACATGAGCACCATCTACAGATTTCATCAACGATACCAGATGACCACGAGCATGTCGTCCTCATAAAGTCTGGTTTCTCTGATTCTTCGTAAGTCTTGGCATTGCGCTGGTATCTATACAAGAATGTTCGATCCACGTATTGGGGTGCCGTTTATCAGAAAAGGCACAAGGAAACGCGAGTGAATTCTGATTTTCGTGGAAAGCATTCGGTACTTTGTAAGCACGGTACCATGGTCGTTTGTTAAGCTGCATTTTGGCGACCCATTATCTACATATTTGTGTCAGTTTTTGGCCGTTTACATTGAGTTCGGATACAGACTAATGTCAAAAACGTGATACCTCCCAATATGCATTTATATTTTAATGGGAAAATTTCAGGAAGTGACGTCTCTTTTACAGTTCAAAATATATGAACAATAGTGGAGGAGAACTCTATATCGCAACACAAATCAAAATAGACGAGTAGCTTTCATTCCAAGTTTCAACAGTTCACTTTAACGCATACTGTCATTTATTTATGTAGGACCGTGGTTTTCAAACCATTGTGAAACTTGATATTACGTTTTCCAAGAAGCATACAAATACAGACGTACGGCGGATAATTCAGGATAACAGTTCTTTCGGCGGGAGGGAAATTTGCTGGCGGCGGGAGATTAGAAACACAAAATAAGCGAGAACGCTCTAAGACCGTGACATGGTATCTCAGTGGGCTAGAACTGTAGAACTAGCATTAGTCTGGGCTCATACAAGTTGCCGCAAAAGGCCACTATGCTTGTAAAAGGCGACTAACGGGATCGGGTGGTCAGGCTCGCTGACTTAGTTGATGCATGTCATCGTACCCGAATTGCGTGGGTCGATGCTCATGATGTCAATCACTGGATTGTCTGGTCCAAACTCGATTATTTACAGACCGCCGTCATATAGCTGGAATATTGCTGAGTGCGGCGTTAAACAACTAACAAACCAAACCAAACCATTAGGATTATATGGAAAAAAATCATTTAATGAGTATCAATTCCTAACATATGGCACAGAAAGACACAGCTGCATACGCCAATATCATTTTCCAAAGGCGATGTCAGGACAACCAGGTCAGAAGGAACTTTTTATGTACATTTCCTTCTCCACGCGATGTAATTTACTTCGACTTTAGACACCTATTACACAACGCTACATAAGCTGATTTATGTCGGTTATCAAGCTTTTACGTTTGTAGGACATGGAATTCCAATCAGCATTGATCGAGCAGTTTTATGGGTGTCGCTCTCCCGCCTAACACTGGACACTGAGCATTACATGAAATAGAGAATTGTGTTGGAATTCGTAGTAGTGACCAAAATTACGTCCGGTGCAGTTCCCTGATTAGACTTGTGCCATGGGGCGGTGGGGTAGCCTAGGGGTTAAAGCGTTCGCTCGTCACACCGAAGACCCGGGTAAGATTCCTCACATGGGTAAAAAGTGTGAAGCCCATATATTGGTGTCCCCCGCCGTGATATTGCTGAAATATAGCTAAAAGTGGCGTAAAACCATACTCACTCACTCACTCACTCACGAGTGCCAATGTTGGGGCAGGATTTCGCGAACACCTGGTATCAGGACTATTTGATAGTTATTTATATACACATGCTTATGACGTGGTCGTAATCGCAAAACAGACTGCCTTAGCAGATGTTTCTTATGAGTATGGTCCTGTGCTTTGTTTAAACACGCAACACAAGGAAAGTGCGAAACATGTCACATCTAACCTTTTTGTGAGTAAGTGATAATGCTGCTTTGAATGAGTGAGTGAGTTGGGTTTAACGCCGTTCTGAACGGTATTCCAGTTATATCACGACGTTTCAGCTGAATGTGGGAGGAAAGCCCGAAGCGATGCAGACCAAAGACGATTAACACTAGCACAGATATGATGCTGACAAACCTAGGAACATTATCGGGGCGAACCCACAACCATAGGTTTCTGGTGTGCCCAAAGGACGCAACTCTGCACAGCCGACTGGGCCACTCGCTTTGAACAGACATTTCAGTGATAGCACCCATGTCGGCTTTGATGTGGAATCAAGTCCAAAGTGGCACAGACCATCCACTTTGGTGCGACACACGAGCATAGATTAGGGTTGTCATAGCGACTGATTTACGGCTACCATTGTCTGAAGTACATTTGACTCCAAAGGCTAATTGCCCTGTAGCCATGACATGTATATGTCTCCATAACTTAATTGTCATTATTTATAAGACACTAATCCCCGTTGTTAATCCTCACCAACATTTCATTGTATTTTGACTGTCAGTCAGCCTGGACTACCATATCACTTCCCTTTAACTACTGCTTTTTATAGTATGGCATTTATTGCCTTAATTGATCATCCCCTGAACTGTGTCGAGTCATCACGCCCATATGTCCAATGTCCAAAGCAACGTCATTGTCTCTTTGTCTGTCCATTGTTGTTCGTTACTATATATGTGTTACCATTACATGGTGTTAGTCAGGCTTGGTATTCCGAGTGCTGGCATAGGGACGACCTCGAGCAGGATGTGCCGCTCGTAGGAAACGCCCTGTGGTGAGCTGGAGCTCCGCTCACCTCTTGTACGCCTGAGCTGGAAGGTCCGCTCATCGCTGTGTTTGTGTTGTCAGAGCAGGTGTTCCGCTCATTGTGCAATTGTTGTTCACTGTTTACATGTTGTGCATAAAGCGTTCCGGGACAGTGATGTCGATTTTGTTCTTTATTCCCCTAAGAGCTAATTCCCTGTCAACATGCTCGTTGACAGGGTCAACAAAGGGGCGAATGTGGGTGCAGATGCAAGAAACACAAACTTCTGACACTCGCACCCACAGGGATTTTTATTACATGATGTTGAGCGTCAATCACAGTGTTCAATACAATCGTTGATAAGAACAATATTCATTCAGATATAATCGTTGGTGAAGGAGTTGAATTGAAGAGCTGTCGTTGAACGGTAAAGACGACTTCAAAATACAACTTTAAACTATGTTTACGTTTTGAGGCGTTATGATGAGGCAATTTCAGTCTCGTTATAAGACGACTATATTTGTTTACGTTGAATACGTTGGTGGGCGAGGTTCAGAAAACTAAAATAGAAAGAAAATACAATCCTTACTTTAGGCTGAACCAATTAAATAGTCAAAATTACCAATTTAAAACAATAACAAACAACTTTCCGACAAAATACTCAAAATTGCTTACAACTGCAAAATAATTACTAAATTGAAGTTATGAATGCATTGAACACTTGATAAATAAAATAATATTAACGTTGGCATTGAAAAATATGAGTTTACTTACATTTGTGTTGCTTTATACTTTGGAGAATTTAACCGTGGTCCTGACAGGATTGAGATTTGACTGATTGTGAGGGGAACATGTGTTTTTTAGATCATGTGACTTGAAATGAAATTGAGGCTGTAAACAAGTTAATTATTTATCTGCAAAAAAATCTTGAGAAATGGAGATTTGAACTCACAATCTCTAGGTTTCAAAGGTCATATGACATATTAGGACGAAAAACTTCATCCACTAAGCCAAAGTAAGGAGGTTCAAATTAAGATGACTTTATTCTCGAACGATATTTAACTTCGAAAAACTTTGGTTTCAAAATATAAATGAAACTTAAACCTTTACCAACATATAGAACATGAACTTTAAACAAAACTCTTGAAACAGATGAAAAACACCATTTCTGCCTTTACACTGGGATTCGAAGTCATTATCAGTGGCTTGTGAATGAGTAAATTAACATACTCCACCACGTCCAATATTATAGAAATCTGAGGAAGGAGTGTGTGAGTATGGTTTTACGCCGCTTTCAGCAATATTCCATCAATATCACGACGGGGGACACCAGAAATGGGCTTCACACATTGTACCCATGTGGGGAATCAGACCAGGGTCTTGGGCGTGACAAGTGAACGCTTTAACCACTAGGCTACCCCACCGCCCCCTGAGGTAGAAGCTACATAGTGACAACAGTGTGTATCATGCATGCAGACAGACAGGGGGACAATCACACTAGGGGCGAATTTGGGATGAGTTAATAAAGAGTAGGAATCGAGGACAGAGGACTCAACGGGGAGAGGACATTACTGAAAAGTTACTGTGAGGGTACCTTGTGTTGATCCACTGATCGCAGATAAAACTTTTATATTTTATTTTGTCGAATGTTCAGGCATCAGAAGTTTTGAATAAACTTCTCTTTTCTGTCGTAGTCGTGGAAAATGGCAGCCCATATGCGACTTCAAATTGTTTAAAAAATATGGGGAATTCAGTAGTAAATAAATGAGTTTGGATTCCTGCCACTGACAATCACAACAAAAACACTTCCACTCACACACTCACACAAGTCACTTATTTACAACGTCTAGACCAGTGCGTGGAGCATAATGTCCCTTAATTATCTGCAATTTCCAACATACAAGCGCATTCCTGGCATACTGTCCGCAGCGTGATATAATCCTACTCACTCTAAAGGTCGCTGAGCTTCTAAACAAAATCAGTTATTTTACCATTCACGGGGTGAAATTGCGACAGTATTATATAAAAGTTTAAGTGAAAAGAAAACGTATGCGAAAAGATGTTACGTTTTTGAACTTAATATTGGTTTGTTTAACGCCACAGCAATAGTCCAGCTATATGGCGGCGGTCTGCAAATTATCGAGTCTAGACCAGACAATCCAGTGATTGAAATCATGAGCATCGATCCACGCAATTGGGATCGATGACATGCATCAACCAAGTCAGCGAGCCTGACCACCCGATCCCGTTAGTCGCCTTTTACGACAAGCATAGTCACCTTTTACGGCAAGCATGGGTTGCTGAAGACCTATTATACCCCGGAATCTTCACGGGTCACAACCGGTACGGAAGTATGACAGATGTTATTATGACCGCCAACGATCTTGAAAGGTGAAAGGGGTAAGATGGGAAATTTGATAGTTGACGTTTGTGGATCAGTAGTGCGTAATACCGCCACGATTTGTCAAACAATTATTCACTCGACGAGGCGATTTGAGGAAATAGGTCCCACTCCTCTTGCAGGGCCCAGTAGTCGGCGGCCTATGACGTTGACGCACACGTCACCCTGTCAAGTCCAAGGCGTGTTCGGTGGATGTGAGGTGTCGGCTCATTGCATGGCCGATGGAGGTGGCCATTGACCATTCGTTCACGGTTAGAACGGGCGTTGTCTTCCTGAAAGACAAAACGTCGACCCAAACGCCGTGCAAGCGGGACAACAAAGGTTGTCAGTATGAACTCTCGATAGTACTGTCCAGTGACCTTTCCCTGTACTCTGTTAGGAGTGGGGTTCGCTCAGGCAGAGCGATGTCACTCCACATCATAAACCATTTGCGACCAACTCGTGTTATTCCGGGACAAGTTATGAATGCATTGAACACTTGATAAATAAAATAATATTAACGTTGGCATTGAAAAATATGAGTTTACTTACATTTGTGTTGCTTTATACTTTGGAGAATTTAACCGTGGTCCTGACAGGATGGAGATTTGACCGATTGTGAGGGGAACATGTGTTTTTTAGATCATGTGACTTGAAATGAAATTGAGGCTGTAAACAAGTTAATTATTTATCTGCAAAAAAATCTTGAGAAATGGAGATTTGAACTCACAATCTCTAGGTTTCAAAGGTCATATGACATATTAGGACGAAAAACTTCATCCACTAAGCCAAAGTAAGGAGGTTCAAATTAAGATGACTTTATTCTCGAACGATATTTAACTTCGAAAAACTTTGGTTTCAAATTATAAATGAAACTTGAACCTTTACCAACATATAGAACATGAACTTTTGAAACAGATGAAAAACACCATTTCTGCATTTACACTGGGATTCGAAGACATTATCAGTGGCTTGTGAATGAGTAAATTAACATATTCCACCACGTCCAATATTATAGAAAACTGAGGAAGGAGTGTGTGAGTATGGTTTTACGCCGCTTTCAGCAATATTCCAGCAATATCACGACGGGGGACACCAGAAATGGGCTTCACACATTGTACCCATGTCGGGAATCAGACCAGGGTCTTGGGCGTGACAAGTGAACGCTTTAACCACTAGGCTACCCGACCGCCCCCTGAGGTAGAAGCTACACAGTGACAACAGTGTGTATCATGCATGCAGACAGACAGGGGGACAATCACACTAGGGGCGAATTTGGGATGAGTTAATAAAGAGTAGGAATCGAGGACAGAGGACTCAACGGGGAGAGGACATTACTGAAAAGTTACTGTGAGGGTACCTTGTGTTGATCCACTGATCGCAGATAAAACTTTTATATTTTATTTTGTCGAATGTTCAGGCATCAGAAGTTTTGAATAAACTTCTCTTTTCTGTCGTAGTCGTGGAAAATGGCAGCCAATATGCGACTTCAAATTGTTTAAAAAATATGGGGAATTCAGTAGTAAATAAATGAGTTTGGATTCCTGCCACTGACAATCACAACAAAAACACTTCCACTCACACACTCACACAAGTCACTTATTTACAACGTCTAGACCAGTGCGTGGAGCATAATGTCCCTTAATTATCTGCAATTTCCAACATACAAGCGCATTCCTGGCATACTGTCCGCAGCGTGATATAATCCTACTCACTCTAAAGGTCGCTGGGCTTCTAAACAAAATCAGTTATTTTACCATTCACGGGGTGAAATTGCGACAGTATTATATAAAAGTTTAAGTGAAAAGAAAACGTATGCGAAAAGATGTTACGTTTTTGAACTTAATATTGGTTTGTTTAACGCCACAGCAATAGTCCAGCTATATGGCGGCGGTCTGCAAATTATCGAGTCTAGACCAGACAATCCAGTGATTGAAATCATGAGCATCGATCCACGCAATTGGGATCGATGACATGCATCAACCAAGTCAGCGAGCCTGACCACCCGATCCCGTTAGTCGCCTTTTACGACAAGCATAGTCACCTTTTACGGCAAGCATGGGTTGCTGAAGACCTATTATACCCCGGAATCTTCACGGGTCACAACCGGTACGGAAGTATGACAGATGTTATTATGACCGCCAACGATCTTGAAAGGTGAAAGGGGTAAGATGGGAAATTTGATAGTTGACGTTTGTGGATCAGTAGTGCGTAATACCGCCACGATTTGTCAAACAATTATTCACTCGACGAGGCGATTTGAGGGAATAGGTCCCACTCCTCTTGCAGGGCCCAGTAGTCGGCGGCCTATGACGTTGACGCACACGTCACCCTGTTAAGTCCAAGGCGTGTTCGGTGGATGTGAGGTGTGGGCTCATTGCATGGCCGATGGAGGTGGCCATTGACCATTCGTTCACGGTTAGAACGGGCGTTGTCTTCCCGAAAGACAAAACGTCGACCCAAACGCCGTGCAAGCGGGACAACAAAGGTTGTCAGTATGAACTCTCGACAGTACTGTCCAGTGACCTTTCCCTGTACTCTGTTAGGAGTTGGGTTCGCTCAGGCAGAGCGATGTCACTCCACATCATAAACCATTTGCGACCAACTCGTGTTATTCCGGGACAAGCCGAATAGCGACTCGTGCCCCTCTCAAGGCCATTTTTGCGACCGGGTTCCGTCTAAGCGCAAACGGGCATACCTCAAACAATTGTCGTTGCGTAATGGTTCAGATATATTTCCCCATATAACATATATATTTCAGATGCAATTTAAAGCACATCAGGACGCGCGGAATTATACAGTATGATTGAACACATTTAACTGTGTCTTGGGTATATGTTAAGATGCAAGACACATGTAAAATCAAAAATTATTTCGGAGGGATTCTTTGACGAAGAACTTGAAATCATACGCGCATTCTGATTGGTTTGTCGTATTTTCGCACATTACATTCATCGATAGGGGGACGAGTCTTCTTGCAGGTTACGGAAAGAGGCGAGTGGTGACGGATGACTAAAACTGTGTATACCATTGACGTCTGCTGGCAATATGACGATTTGTAGGGGGCGGCACAGCACGCGTCGAGCATGGAGATGAGCTGCTTGTTCACGATTTCTTATCGTCTGACCCGCAACTCGTACTCCTGTAGCCCTGTGAAAGTTTGAAGCCATTTAATTCGCCGTTTGATCTCTATTCCGTTGAGCCTGGATTCGGATCAATCGATCCTGTACTCTTGTCGTTGACCCAGGACGGGGTCGATCGTCAACATTTTGGGTTTGTTGGTACCTGTTCCATAGTCTAATAATCACTGACTGTTAAAAATTGAACATATGGGCCCCTGCACGCAGACTTTGCCAATTTCCAGCATGCCAATAGCCCGTAGAAGCTCTGTGCGTTGCCGACGCCGCATCCCTAGTAATTACTCAATCAATGAATGAAATTAAGTAATTCACAACTGTATGATAAGCAGAATCAAAAAGACCAATATTGATCCACAGAGACTTATCGCCTTTCCTTGAACGTGTCAAAATCAGGAAAGACACACTACGCTCGTTTGTCGCGCAAGTGCGTGAGGCACGTGCAAACTATAGGATGTGTTTTGGTGCTTTCAGACATAAACGTTCTTGTAAGGGATGTTTGTCATCAACACTTATCTTTGTTCTAATACTTAGTATTAACATTTATATTTCATGATCCCCTGGTTAAACAGTATATATCGACACACGATGGACGAATTTGTTTATCACTGAACGCTGTTCGGAAGGCGACTTGAGCCGCCTACAGCGACAGTGAACCATCCTGTGTTGCCACCATCAACAATTATCGATAAACGATAATGATACAGAGTGGCGGAACATGAATTCCAACTCACACTGTCAATGCGCAAATCACAAGGGATGGTCTTTCTTACCTGAATCATTGATAGTTGCACAAATCCCAGATGAACGTGAAGCTTTGACTGTCGTTAATGACAATACAGGTTTATTTTAACGCTCCGCAAGCCTATGTTCCCTACATTGGATCAACACATACAGGCTGAAGTCATTGTGGTGGTTGGTATTGTATGTTGGGTACACGTATTTACCTATCTACCACGGCTACGCCTTGACACTATCATGGAATAAAGGATTCGTTCAGAATTTCCTTATATACGGGTTTGCAGATTTATCTGAGGCTGGCGACGAAATTTTACGTCATGTTAGTGTGAATTATTTCACCAGAACTCTCATTGGTGTTTCCCAAATAGTTTCATTTGAAGATTCAGCGTCAGTGTGCAAGATGGCGGGCCCTACAATCCTTATGAACATCAGTGGGACGAAATATGAAGTGTCCAACGCGACCTTTGGTAAGCTAATGGACCAGAACGGATCGGTGTGTTTAACGGAAGCTACAGTGAAGGACAGCTCCCCAAAAGAATATTTTTTTGAGAGACATTCCGACTCTTTCGCGGCCATCTTGGATTTTCTTCATCACGGAGAGCTCCATCTTCCCCCGACGGTTTGTCCAAACGTGTTCTCGCGAGAACTCGCGTTCTGGGGGATAGATATCGCGATAATGGAGAACTGTTGCTATCACAACTTCGTCACGTTTGTGGAAGACAGGAAAACTTTGAGAAACTTTGAAAAACAATCCCAGACGATTGACACAAGTACCGGGAAACCAAAAATATTCTGGTTCCCCCGCCTGGAACGACTCCGAGCCTCGGTGTGGGCCATCCTTGACAACCCTTCATCCTCCAACGCGGCAAAGGTAAGACTCACAATGTAACATTTCGTTACATTTCCTTCTGAGTCGACACGTAACGTTTATATAAAATATTACTGTCTCATTTTTATGGTTACCTAAGTGTTTCATGATTTAAGATGAACGTACTAACAGCGACAAAACCCTTTCCATAATCTTTAGAAATCTCAAAAGAAATCTTAAAAGGAAAGTCCATTGCACGACCCCTAACGAATCCCTATAAAATAGTGATACCAGCTGTTCACAAAAAAGGTGAGCGTATCCTGCCCCTCCGGAAGCCACATTGGACCCTTAACGTAGGATATATTCTCGATACATTTTGTGTGACAGTGTGACCTTTTAAACGCATATGACAGACACACATAACTGCCATATCGGTTTGTTATTTTGTTGACAGCTGTCATTTCAATTTTGCACGTGTTCTTGACTTAATTTTCAAGTTGAAAAAGAAATCATGCCTTTTGTAAAATTATTGCTCTCCTATTTAATTTGTGAGTATCGTTTCACTAAATTTGGGATATTCATCCTTCCTAACATGATTTTGTCCTTAATTTTGGATAAAATGTTAATGAATTAAAATAGACAAAATTCGTAATTAAGCCTCTTGCTTGACAAAGGTTTAATGAACTATAGCGAACGTAGCTATAGTAGTATATTAAAGAAGCTGTTGACTCGTGATGATCCGGGTTAAAACAGTTCTTCAGCAACCCGTGCTTGTTATGTAAGAGAAGGGCGGTCGGGTGAAAAGCGTTCGTTCGTCACGCCGAAGACCGAGGTTCGATTCCCGACATGGGTACAATGTGTGAAGCCCATTTCTGGTTTTAACCGCCGTGATATTGCTGGAATATTGCTAAAATCGGCGTAAAACTATACTCACTCACTCACTTGTTATAAGAGGCGGCTATGCTTGTCGTAAGAAGCGACTAACGGGATCGGGTGGTCAGGCTCGTTTACCTGTTTGATGCGTGTCATCGTATCCCAATTGCGTGGATCGATGCTCATTATGTCAATTACTGTATAGTCTGGTCCAGACTTGATTATTTACAGACCGCCGTCATATAGCTGGAATATTGCTGATTGCGGCGTTAAACAACAAACAAACAATAAAGAAGTTGTTTTTCATGAATTGTGTCTACTTTAGTATTCATATTCAAGTTGGATAGCTCTTTATTTCATCCCTATATTTATGAAATACATTAATAAATGGTACCAGTTTGCTGCGTCATGATTGTCGTGAAAGGTTCTCCCTGCAGCAAGTGCAGAAGCAAATCTGTATGAAAGAAAAGTTTGTTTGTTTCTGTCAATCAATCTTTATTTCACGTACTGAAGAGACCACAGGCCTATAGTACAATTTGAAGAATATACAATTTTATACAATTTATGTACATATCTCACCAAATCACCTTACGTCATTCCACATCGCATCTCAACACAGTCACATAATTTCACACCTACAGTACAATATCATACCCTGTAATTTCATAATTTCTATTTTACCATATTACAACTTGTTGTATCATACAACATATTCTATAACATCATATCATATTGTATCATTATTATAAGATCATACTATATAGTATTATTTCATATACCATTATCATATCATAACATACCATACATACCATCGTACCATATATCACACCTATATTATATCACATTTCAACATGTCATATCACACAACACATTAGCAATTTCATAGCTTGTCCCATCATATCTTATCATATCATACCATATAATGTCATGTCATTCCATGCCAATTTATATCATATCAATCAATCAATATTTATTCAACACTGGAAGACCGCAAGCCATATAATATGTACACTAAAAAAACAGTATTTACCCAATTTCTATAATACACATAACATATTGCATCATATCCCCTCATGTATCATATCACACCACAACACTTATCATATCATATCACATCATGTCATGTCACATCATATCATTTCATATACATATAACTATACTAAACCATTTGTAATATCACGTCCCACAATATCATATGACAGCCTAATAGTTTAATACCATTTCTAACTCTTTTGTTTGTAGTTTATTCAAATGACAAATATCTATAAAAGTGTACTTAATGTATATACACAATAGTTTCCTAATACCAAGCAGCTAAGATTATTCTTTCACAAGGTTCTGTCGGTATAAAGAGGCATAATATATGTACATGGAAACATTTTGTAAGATACTTCTTTTTGTGTTTGACAGCAGTGTAACAAATTTAATAATATTAGGGTACCTGTAATAATAAGCTTGCAGGTATTTTTCTCTAAGGTGTAAATACACTGGACATACAAGTAAGAAATGAAATTCATCTTCTACTAAGTTTAAACTACATAGATTACAGATTCTTTCTTCACGAGGAATGTTTGCATAGCGCCCTGTTTCTATTAGAAGGTCGTGAGAAGAACATCTAAAACTTGAAAGAGCCGTTCGAAATTTTTTAACATTAACTTTTGATAAATAATCTTCCATAATTATTTCTGATTTACACATTTTGTAATAAGAGCACTTGTTTGTTAGAGTCAATGATGCAGTCAAAGATTGTAAATAAATATCCTTTAATCTCTGGGTTAATGAAAGTATAAACATTGATTTGGAATACACATTTTGGTTGTGCCAAATATCACCAAAGCCACAACTCTAACACCTGTAACCCAGTTTCTTTTCCCATCATTATCATAAACTATCATCATATTATAACACTTTTTTGGCAATCTATATGAGGGCATGTCAATAAGTCTCAGCCAGTATTTAATAACTTTTATATTTGAATATACATAGAGAGGGAATCTTCCACATTCTCCATACACCACCAAGCTGGAAGTGTTTATTTTAACACCTAGATACTATTTGCAAAGATATAAATGAATCTTTTCTATGGCATCAAAGTGCTGTAAACCACAGACTTCTGCCCCATACAACAAAATGGGGAGTATCTTTCTATCAAATATTTTTTAAAAATGATTGATGAGAAATGGTTTCTAAAACTTTCAAACTCTTATGGATACTTACAAAGACCTTTCTTGCTTGTAAAGCAGCTTGATACAAATGTTTATGTTTTACAAGTTCCTACTGAAGTAAACACCAAGATATTTATAAAATCCTGTAGTTTCTATTTTTTGTCCTTTAAAGGACCAATATTCTTTACTTGCTGCATGACCTCCATTCTTAAATACCCAAACTTTTGTTTTACTCATGTTAACTGTTAGCTTCCATTTATTGCAGTAACTTTCAAGTTCATTAATTTGACACTGCAGTCCTTTGATTGTTGATGAAAAGAGAGCAATATCATCTGCAAATAAAAGTAAAAATATCTGTGTAATACCTGGATGGAGCTGAACACCATACAGTTGGTATTTATTTGTACAGTCAGTTCATTTATGAAAAAAAGTAGAGAAATGGGCTTAAGATACATCCTTGTCTTACTCCTAACTGACTAATACATGTTTCTGAAATCTCATTATTGTTTCGCACACACACCTTAATATTCTCGTAAATGCTACCTAATAGTTTGTTCATCTTAAAGCTGAGGCCATGTGATCTTAAAAGGTTCCATAGTTTATGTCTCTGCACTGAGTCAAATGCCTTGGCAAAGTCAACGAAGCGCACATAAAGTTTCCCACCCTTGACACTGAGGTATTTGTTAACTAAAACTTGAAGGATAAAAATGTTGTCAATAGTTGAATAGCCCTCTCTAAATCCAGCTTGTTCTTCATTGATTTTGTTGAGGGTATCTGCCCAAAACACTAATCTTTTATTTATTATGTTTGTGAATAGTTTACCAAATATACTTAGCAGTGAAATACCTCTGTAATTGTTTATATTATTTAGATCACCTTGTTTATGTATTGGCACAAGTATCCCGATTGACCATGCATCTGGAAATGTTCCATTTTCTAATATAACATTAAATATAAGTTCAAGGTACGGTACAATGATATCTGAGGAATGTTTAAAAAACTCAGGAATAATCTGATCCATTCCTGGTGATTTGTTTCATTTAAGATGGTGTATACTCTCTAAAATCTCATCTCTGGTATTAGGGGAATCCAGTATATCATTTGCAAACTGAGTATCTGTTTGAGTCTGTGTATTATCTTGTGACTCCTGGAACTGATTTTCAGGGCTCTGATCAGTATCTGTGAAAGTAATAATTCTTTAAAGTAGATGTACCAATCCTTAATGTTGATATTATTTGCCTTTTGATGTTTGCTTAGACTTTTCAGTTCTGACCAAAATAGTTTAGGGTTATGAATGTTATTTTCTAAGGATTGTTGCTTATCATGTATATATTCTTGTTTCTTTTCTTTGCACACAGCTATATATTTGTTTCTTATGTTATGATATTCTCTAAGTGAGTCCTAATCTTTACATCTCCTGAATTTATTGAGTGCCCTACACCTTTTCTTTTTAAGACCCTCACATTCTGCATCATACCATTTACACAATTGATTTGGCTTTGGATTTCTAACCTTTTTTTGCATGTCTGAGCCCGCTAATTTCAAGGCATCCACTAAGTAATCAATACTTACATCCATATTGGACAATGCTGTATTTACTGATTTATCAAGTAAATCTTGAACTTGGTCAGAGAAATATCGTTATTGTTTCTGTCTTTATGGTTTAACGCCGCAATCAGCATTATTCCAGCTATATGATGGCGATCAGTAAATAATCGAGTCTGGTCCAGACAATCCAGATTGACATCATTAACATCAACCTACACAATTGGGATACGATGACACGCATCAACGTCAGCGAGCCTGATCACCCGATCCCGTTATTCGCCTTTTACGACAAGCATAGTCGCTTTTTGCGGCAAGCATGGGTTGATGAAGACATATTCTACTCTGGATCTTCACGGGTCTAGGAAACACTTAAGTCAATGTCAATATTGCTGTTACAGAATCAAAGATAAAAAGAATCGACCACTAGGTTGAATTCAGTGCAACCACACATCTACCCCCAAGTGAAATGATCGGCAT